TCTGGATTCCACCACTGGGCAAGTTTCTCAAATGCTCTGTATCCATTTTCTCTTCTACAAAATGGAGATAATATATTTTCACTGGGTTTTTGTGAAAAGTACAAGTGACATCCCTCCCTAGAATTCCTGGATTCTCCTCTGTGGGCACTCAAACTGCATATCCACCAGCTTCCTGAGATGTTTAAGTTTCCAGCTAATCTCCAGGCACTTTGGACAACCAAACTGCCCCAAAGGCATAACAATGAATCAAAAGTAATTCAGTCATTCAGGGACCTCCAGGTCCATTCAGGCCCTTTCAAAAATAAAATCCAACAGACTCTTGGCATAGAATCTGACTAGTGGAAACATGGTGTCCAAGTTACTTGAAGCAGCTTTTGGTATATGCTCAGGCCTAAGGATTAAAAGCAGAAAGCCCAGCACCTCTCTCATAGGGAAATTAATCAGAATAGTTGCAGGGCTTCTGAGTGCCAAGCTCACCCCAGACTCTTCTGAAAGCATGACCTTTGCATTTCGACCAAGCTCCCCAAATCTGGGCTCTACTAAGGCAACTGCTCTTGGAGGAAAGGTCAGAAAGTCAAGAGAGGGACAGAAAATTCATGACTGGGGACATCCTTATTGTGGCTAATGACATATGCTACATACCTGAGTGCCCTTGTCCCCCATAGGAAGATAGATCACAGAGCAAAGGTAAATTGCTGGACAGGTAGACCTTACGTCTTCTCTTAGCCAGGAATCAATCTCTCTATCCAAAACAATTGAAGCTGAAGGTAAAATAATAGAAAAAAAGGTACCAATAGGACATGTCAGAAACAAAACCATTAAATCTCAACAAGTACTCAAACTAATAAGCAAAATATTTAAACAAATATTAATAATAAAGTTACCTCTTAACCTGCCCTGAATAAAAATCCCTAATTCCAGATCTAGCTGTGGTCGTCAGGGCAGGAGCAACTCTCTCATCCACACCAAGGATGCTGAAGCCAGCCTGGCCCCAAGTCCTGGAAATCTTGGCAGCTTCATGGAAACCGAGGGGGGTGTAGCAGATCCCCTGCAAGTGGGTGGGTCCGCTGTGGGTCCGCTGTGGCTGCATAAACTTAGAGCAAAGGGGCGACATCTGGGTGCTCCTAAGGAAGCAAGGAGCCGCTTCCCAGCCCAGAGTGTCCCCATTTACCAAATGATCCCAATGACGCTGGGTAGAAACACGGAACACCCCAATATCTCACCTCAGTATCTCACTCTGCCAAATCAGAACCTCCTTGGCAAGGACCTGGAATGTGGATTTAATCAGGGACTGTTTTCACATTGAGAGGTTAGCAAGAACTGCTCGTCCATTCCTTTTTCTCAGCATCCTACAATGGTAAAAAAGATTCTCTACCCTGCTTCCCGGTTTCCTCCCTGGCGACTCCCAAACAAGTAAAGGTGAAGAGTGGCCTCTATTCACCTAATTAGAAACCTTGTGGTTTTGAGAGTGTTCCACTGGGGGGCAGTATTGTCCTTAGAAAAATTCATCCCATAACACTGTACCCCATGGTGTGGAATCTATTAATTTCCCTGCAGCCTGGTTACCATAAACAGATCTGGAAAGCAGATCTTGCATGCAGAGAGACACAGCTCCTTAGGAGGAATGAGACAGTGCAGAGCCTAGAGCTTTACATGGAAGATGTTCTTTGCTCGAATTCCTCCTTCACATTTAAGGTTAAGAACAAGGAATCCACTCTAGGAAGCGATCCTGGAGGATAATACATGTGTGCTGGATGACAGATTCCTCATCCCTCAAAGCTTTATCCTTTATTGAGCCATCAGATGGGAATTCAGGATTGATGTAGACAACACTGACCCAGCTCAACTTTAGGCCCTGGCTGGACCAGTGGGAACAATCAGCCTTCACTAACTTCAAGAGGTAACACTTGGGTGAGGTGAGACTCATTTTAGCACTCATTGGGAATCCTCCTAGTATAGTCTTCCCTGACTGTGAAATAGGGACCTGTACATTTGTACAACTTCTCTTAGAGATTTGGGGGAGACTTATTTCAATAGAGTACAATAATCTATGGTCCCTGGTCTTTATGCATTTACTCTATTTTATTTTAAATTCTGTTTATAGGTCTGTTTTCTGTGTTACTGTGTGCATGTATTAATAAGAACAGTTCTCTAATAATCTGGAATATACTTACTCCAATGCAAACTTTGAAATCCTGAATTATTAATAAAAGTGAGTAAGGAGGCTGAGATGGTTAGGGCCAAGTGAGCAGATCACAGTATGTCCCTTGGGATAATAAAAGTTGTTTAACATAAGATCTACAGTCAAATTAGTATGTAAAATACTTGGTTAAACAATTAAATGTATTTTTTATTTGTTATTTTTATATATATGTGACAATAGGCATATTTTGACATACATACACAAAGTATAATTTATTCTAATTAGGATCCCATTCTTGTGACTGTATATGATGTGGAGTTACCCTGGTGATGTATTCAAATACAAGGATAGGAAAGTTATGTTAATGACAGTTAGTTCTACTGTCCTTCCTATTCCCCTTCCTACTCCCCCTCCCTTCATTCTCCTTTGTCTAATCCAATAGACTCATATTCTTCTATTCTTCCCCTTCCATCCTCTTTTCCACATATCAGAGAGAACATTCAGCAGCTTTTGGGGGATTGGCTTATTTCACACAATATAATAATCTCTAGTTCCATCCATTTACTCACAAATGCCATAATTTCATTCTTCTATATGGCTGAATAATGTTCCATTGTGTGTATATATACCACACTTTCTTTATACATTCATCTATTGAAGGACATCTAGGTTGGTTCCATAGCTTGGCTATTGTGAACTGAGCTGCTATAAACATTGATGTGGCTGCATCACTGTAGTATCCTGATTATAAATCATTTGGGTATAGACTGAGGAGTGGGATCACTAGGTCAAATTGTGGTTCCATTACAGGTTTTCCAAGGAATATCCATACTGCTTTCCATAGTTGTTGCACCAATTTGCAGCCCCACCAGCAATGTATGAGTAATCCATTTATTGATTCTTGATTTTATTTCTTGCACTTTAGGAGTCTAGTTGAGGAAGTCAGTTCCTAAGCTGACAATGAAGATTTGGGCCTACATTTTTTTTCTATTAGGTGCAGGATCTCTATTCTAATGTCTAAGTCTTTGATAAATGGGCTAAGGAACCAAAGAGACACTTCACAGAAGAAGAAATACAATCAAGAAACAAATATATGAAAAATGTTCAACATCTCTAGTAATTAGAGAAATGCAAATCAAAACTACTCTTAAGATTCACCTCACTCCACAGAATCCCCACTAATGTTGTACCCTTGTCCACTCAAGGGGAATCCAGCCAAAATGTAAACTGGGGACTTAGTTATGTCACCACCATAACTAGAGCAGAGAGCTCAAACATCTATGTTATGAATCTAGAACTTTGGCATAAACAGGAATCTCAAAGTTTAAGAAACACACACTCCACCTTTTCCTCATTTAGACTCATCTGTAAGAGCTAGAGTAGTTATGAAAGGTTAATAAAATATGTACTTGTCACTCCATTTTTCTGTATGCTTAACAAAACACTGTTGAAATCCCGAGAACTGTTTGCTAATCTTGTTCCCAGAATGTGATGTCCCCAACTGCCAAACTGCAGGATGCACTCCCTCACTCGGTTGCAGGCAAACCGCCCACTCGCCCTGACCCGTCAATGAACTTCCCTCCCTGCCCTCTCCAAGAAAAGTATATAAGCTCTGCTTAAGCTGTTCTCAGGGCTCTCTCTCTTTGCTCTATTCAAGTGAGCTCTGAGCCCCAGCATGCTGGACCCCTAATAAACCCTTTGCTGTTGCATGAGACAGTCTCTTGGTGGTCTCTTCTTCCAACGTTCTCCCGACCTTTACATTTGGAGGTCCCACCGAGATCCGGCAGCGGCACACGAAAGACCCCCAATGGGCTCTTCTCGGAGTAAGTAAGGCGTCTCTTTCTGGTTTCTGATTTCTGGTTTCAGGTTTCAGGTTTCTGGTTTCTGGTTTCAGGTTTCAGGTTTCAGGAGGGCTTGGCAAAGTGGCTGTTTGTGAAGAGTGTGAGCTCTCTCCGACAGTGGCTGACAGACGTGTCACAGAGCCACAGGCCACGTCCCTGGGGGATGCCCCAGAGGACTTGGGAAATCGAGGAACAGTAGTTTCCTCGACTCAGTATTCTGCAGTATGCTGCTTCAAATTCGGTTTGCCAGCCCATCAGGTTTTGCCAGCTACTCAGTCCTGTCTCAGTGTTGAACGTTTACTGTCTGTGTGTCCTTGCTTTCACTGTTTGTGTATCTTTCATTATGGGACAGAGCACTTCAACGCCTCTGTCCCTGACCCTTGATCACTGGACCAAATTCCACTTAAGGGCTCAGAATCTTTCTTTTTCAGTAAAACGCCGGACCTGGCAGACTCTCTGTGCCTCAGAATGTCCCACCTTTGGAGTCAGATGGCCCCCAGAAGGATCTTTCTACTTCCCACTAATTCAAAAAGTCAGAAATATTGTCTTTGTCTTTCAGCCGGGGCCACATAGCCATCCAGATCAACAGCTGTATATCTTAACTTGGCAGGACCTCTGCAAATCTCCTCCTCCATGGGTGAAGCCTTTCCTTGTCCCTGTCCCCACTCCTACTCCTTCCTCCATGATTCTGTCTCTCAAACCCTCTGCTCCTCCTCCTCCTCCACCTTCTGTTCTTCCTGAGTCTCAAGATTTGACTCTACTGGACTCTCCTCCCCCTCCTTATCCCCTGCCCTCGTCCCCCAACACCCAACAGCCTCTAAATGATTCCCCTGCTGCTGACTCAGCCTCTCCACCATTGGAGGAAACTAAGCCGGCCCAGTGCCCTCCAGATGACTCCCCCAGGGCACACACAGCCCCTCCTCCCTGGAGGAAGCTGGCCCAGCTAAAAGAACTCACCGGCGTTATCACACCAACCTACTTGGGATGACTGCCAACAACTCCTAGGCACTCTCTTCATGACAGAGGAACAAGAGAGAATCCTCCTGGAAGCTAGAAAAAATATCCTCGGACCAGATGGGCAACCGACACAACTTCCCAACATAATCGAAGCCAACTTCCCCTTGAACCGACCCAACTGGGACCCCAACACCTTTGAAGGTAGGGAGCATCTGTCCACTTATCACCAGGCTCTAATAATGGGTTTCCGAACGGCCACTAGGCAGCCAACTAATTTGGCCAAGGTAAGAGAGATTATTCAAGGGCCTGATGAATCTCCCTCTATGTTTCTAGAGAGAATTATGGAGGCATATATGAGATATACTCCTTTCAATCCTCAGGCAGAGGATCAAAAGGCATCTGTCACGATGGCCTTTATTGGGCAAGGTGCCCTGGATATTAAAAGTTACAATGCTTAGATGGATTACAAGATATGACTTTGAGAGGTTTGGTCAGAGAAGCCGAGAAGGTATACTGTAAGAGAGAAACTGAGGAAGAGAAGAAACAAAGGAGGGAGAAAGAAAAGGAGCAAAGGGAGGATGAGAGAAGCAAAAGACAGACTAAGGCATTGACTAAGGTCCTGGTCACAACAAAAAATAGGCCAGAAATTAAACAGGGAGACAGGAAGGGATACCTGGGCCCATGCCAGAGGCCACCTCTGGCCTCAGATCAATGTGCCTACTGTAAAGAAAAAGGACACTGGGCCAAAGAGTGCCCTAGAAAGAAACAGCCACACCAGCCAGCCATTCTAACTCTGGAGGATGACTAGGAAAGTCGGGGCTCGGATCCCCTCCCCGAGCTCAGGGTAACTTTTGAAGTGGAGGGGACCCCAATAAACTTTGAAGTGGATACAGAGGCATTATACGCAGCCCTTAAGGCCCCACTGGGCCCTCTATCAAATAAAAGGTCTCTAGTTCAAGGGGCTAATGGCAGTAAATATTGGGCTTGGACAACTAAGAGGACCATGGACCTGGGGAAAGGAAAAGTCCATCACTCCTTCCTAGTGATCCCAGAATCCCCGGCCTCATTGATGGGCAGAGATCTGCTCACCAAGCTCCAGGCCAGAATAACTTTTAACCCTGAAGGCCCCCAAATGAAATTTCTAAATCCTTCAGTAAAAACTCCTATAGTCATGGCTTTAACTATGTCAGTAAACGATAAACATCAACTCTTCACACCCCCAAGACTGATCAAACAGGCAAGCTACCCCAGAAATGGATAACAGATTACCCAGATGCCTGGGCAGAAACTGCTGGGTTAGGCCTAGCCATGAAACAACCTCCAATAACAGTGGAGTTAAAAACCTCAGCCTCCCCAATCAATGTCAAACAATATCCTCTGGAAAAAAAAAAAAAAAAACTAAAGATGGGATAAGGCCCCATATTCAGAAATATCTGGCCTTAGGGGTCCTAAGGCCCTGTCAATAGGCCTGGAACACTCCCCTGCTACCAGTAGAAAAGCCAGGAACTGGGGACTACCACCCCGTTCAAGACCTAAGAGAGATCAACAACAGAGTGCAGGACATTCACCCCACGGTACCTAATCCATACAATCTGCTTCGCACTCTGAACCCTGAGCGAAAATGGTATACTGTTCTGGACTTAAAAGATGCTTTCTTTTGCTTGCCTCTGCATAAAGATAGTCAGTTGCTGTTTGCTTTCGAGTGGGTAAACCCAGAAACCGGAACATCTGGTCAACTAACTTGGACTAGACTCCCACAGGGGTTCAAAAACTCCCCCACTCTCTTTGATGAAGCCCTCCACAGAGATCTCAACAACTTCAGAACTATGCACCCTGAAGTCACCCTGCTTCAATATGTGGATGACCTGCTACTGGCAGCCAACACCAAGGAAAACTGTGAGTCTGGGACCCAAGAACTATTATCCGAGCTTGCTCAACTCGGATATAAAGCTTCTGCCAAAAAGGCCCAAATTTTCCAGCAAGAAGTAATCTTCCTGGGCTATTCCCTTAGGGGTGGTAAACGATGGCTCACTGAGCCCAGAAAACAAACCGTTGTGCAGATACCACCCCCATCTAACAGGAGGGCAGATGAAGAAGCTAAATTGGCAGCCCTAAATGGAGTAACCATGTTAACACTTTCCAAACAGGGGAACATAAGTCAGGAGATTTAACTACATCGGAGCACCCCGACAACTTAACATCTAAGGACACTGACACTGAACTCCTCGACTTCACTGAGCCCAGCCTACAATTTCAGAAAGCCCTACACTACGTTAAAAATGTACATCAACTCACTCACCTTGGTTCAAAGAAACTGCAGGCATTCCTGAAAGATCAAGAACAGAGTTTTCCACTAACCGGCACACAGCGAAAGGAAATAGCTGAACGGGTAACAAAAGCCTGTCGGGTCTGTCAATTGGTTAATTCTTACCCTTCCAAGCTTCCTGCAGGAAGGCGCCTTCGAGGAACCAGAGCAGGACAATTTTGGGAAGTGGACTTTACTGAAATTAAGCCAGCAATGTATGGACTTAAATATCTCCTAATCTTTGTAGATACATTTTCAGGATGGATTGAAGCCTTCCCCACAAAAAAAGAAATGGCGCTAATGGTGGTCAAGAAGATCCTGGAAGATATTTTTCCAAGATACGGCCTGCCTAAGGTAATACGGTCTGATAATGGACCGGCGTTTGTGGCCCAGGTAAGTCAGGGGTTAGCCAGGACCCTGGGGATTAATTGGAGGTTACATTGCGCTTATAGACCCCAGAGCTCAGGACAGGTAGAAAGAATGAATAGAACCATTAAAGAGACCTTAATGAAATTAAGCTTAGAGACTGGCATAAAAAATTGGACTATGCTCCTGCCTTATGCACTGTTTCATGCAAGAAATACTCCCTCTGTTTCTTTGTGTAACCTCACCCCTATGAAATTCTCTATGGTGCCCCTCCTCCAGTAAGGGACCTAACCCCAACTCTAAGACCTAATGATCCCTTCCACACCCCCTTGCTTGACAGACTTAAAGCTCTTGAAAGAACTCAGCGATACCTGTAAAAACAGCTGGCCACTGCCTACCAACCTGGGGACGAAAGGACTCCACACCGATATCAAGTGGGAAACTTCATCTACATAAGACGACATCAGGTGTCATCCCTGGAACCCCGCTGGAAATGACCATACCAGGTGCTACTTATAACACCTACAGCAGTAAAGGTAGATGGAATCACTTCCTGGATCCATACCTCTCATCTCAAGACTGCGCCCTGTCCAGACTCTGGCTGGAAACTAAAAAAGACTGGTAACCCTTTCAAATTGTGTGTTCACCATGTGGATAGGGCTATAGACTCTCCCCTTGACCACCAGTAGTCCTAATCCTCATCAGCCCATTCAGCAGCGATGGCTGATCACAAATCCTACTGGACAAGAAATATGGTCTATCTCGCATACAGCCCCCTTAGGGACCTGGTGGTCATCTCTCCACCCAGACATTTGTCAGCTGGCTATAGGTCTTTCCTATTGGGATATCCCTGATGAAGAGGATCCCACTAAAATTCCATTAAATCCCTTCTGTACCATAGATAAAGGAAACAAACATTATGGATGTAGGGACACGTGAGCCAGATGCAGGTTGGCTAACCTAGATTACTATGTTTGCCCGGTGGACTATCGAAGCCACAAACAGTCATGGCTGTGTGGGGAAAAAGCCGACTTCTTCTGTAAGTCATAGGGATGTGAGCATACAGGGGCTACCTGGTGGAACCCAAACTCCTCATCAAATTCAGTACACAGCATTGGCCATATTACCAATTAGATAACCAAAACCGAAGACCCCCAGAGGGATCTCTAGATCCTCAAATTCTGCGTGACCTTTTTAACTTCTGCAAGTGCTCAAAAGGGTGGAAGGAAATTCCCCTATGTGGAGGCCTTTTCCCTCCTTTGCTCACATCCTAAACTATGCTTCTCCAATAGATCCTCACCCTTAGCCTTCTGTTCTAGACTCTCTGCTGTCACTCCCACCTCAGCAACCTGATTTCTCCCCTCCAATTACTAGATCAAAAACCCAAACCTCCGCCAGTTCTCAGACCATTGCCCCCTTGCTGAGGTAGCAGGTACTGAGGTACCCCTCCACCCACTCACTCCTCTCTTCTCCTGTCAGTGCCCACACCGGGTTCCACCAGGTCCTCTTACCAGCTAACCCAAAGCTCAAACCAGCTGAGGAGAGCCGTCAGACCCCTATCCAAGATGTAATGAAAATGGCCTTTAAAGTTGCTTTGTCATCACTAAAAACAGGTTACTAAGAATTTAAAGTCCCTCACAGGCTTTTTGGGATACTCACTCCCATCTTCCCCTCTGCTCTACCTGTTCTACTACTCAAGTTTTTGTTGCTAGGAAAATCCCAAACACCTTTCCCATTATCCACAGAGCTGCTCTCAGCCCCACCTTCCCCGTCTTCCCCCTCTGTACCAGGCCCACAAAAAAGTCTTAACTGACCTTCTCCAGAAGTCTTCACCATGGCTGACTTTAGGACTTTCAGCAAAAGAGTCCCTATAAAAGAGTTCAGTATAGATAAACTTCCTCTTTTCATGTTGCCCTGTTCTACTTGGGCACTGGCTGGAAAAATCAGCACTCCTAAGCTAGACACCCCCTTACTAGTTTTTCACAAAATATGTGAACAAGGCCTCTGGCCTTGAGCTGGGGCTTCACAGAGATGGCTACATTTCTAAGATAAAGAAGTTACCAACTGGGCTCCATGGTAACAGCTGGCAGGAAAAAAAAAAGGGGGGGGGAGAAAAAGCTCTCCCTCTCCCAGGTGTCCTTAAAAAGTTAACTTGCCCAGAACAGAGGAAAAAAAACAGAAACAAAAACTGCTTTTTATAAACTTCTGCAGACTGTGAACTTCTGAGCCCCTTCCCTTACATTTGGGTACAAAAATTCTGAAACTACCTAAACTTGGGGTTCAGGGGATTAATTGATTACAACAGAAGCAATGCCCTCTGAATCTGGTTGCAACCAAATAGGACTGTTTCCCTGTCTTCGGTACTATCTTAGGTGCCTTGCCTTGTCCGTCCCTACAACAGTATAATTCTATATACTTAAACATTATTTATGTTTTCATAAAATGGTCAACAGATGTAATTAATTATGTAATGGTGCAGATGTTTCCCAGATTGCTCTATTATGATGCAGGTTCATTTGAAGATCAAATAGGGGGGGCATACAACCCGGTTTCCCGGGAACCTTTATCCTTCACTTTAGCCATCCTGTTAGGAATAGGAGTTGCTGCAGGGGTGGGCACAGGAACCACTGCCCTGGTCCATGGGACACAACAAATGATCCAATTAGAAGCAGCAATAGACCAAAACTTAAAGATATTAGAAACCTCCATCACAGCTTTGCAGGAATCTTTAACCTCTCTCTCTGAAGTTGTTTTAAAGAACAGGCGAGGGTTGGACCTCCTCTTCATGAGAGAAGAGGGCCTTTGTGCTGCATTGAGGGAAGAATGTTGTTTTTATACCGACCATACTGGAGTTGTAAAAGAATCTATGAGTAAATTAAGAAGATGCCTTGAAGAGCGTCAGCGAGAGAGAGAGAGGCCCAAAAAGGGTGGTATGAGTCTTGGTTCACACAGTCCCCCTTGTTAACTATGCTTTTATCAGCCCTGGCTGGTCCTTTAATAATCCTTATATTGTTGCTAAATCTAGGACCCTGTTTGCTCAACCGTGTAGCTTCCTTTCTCCAAGCCCAAATTGGACAAGTCAAACTTATGGTAATCAGACAACAATATACCCCACTAGCAGACATAGAATTGACACCCCCCAATGACCACTTTTATGATTAAAAGTAGCCAGAAGAAGAAGTGGGGAATGAAAGGTTAATAAAATAGGTAATTGTCACTCCATTTTTCTGTATGCTTAACAAAACACTGTTGAAATCCCGAGAACTGTTAGCTAATCTTGTTCCCAGAATGTGCTGTCCCCAACTGCCCCAAACTGCAGGATGCACTCCCTCACTCGGTTGCAGGCAAACAGCCCACTCGCCCTGACCCGTCAATGAACTTCCCTCCCTGCCCTCTCCAAGAAAAGTATATAAGCTCTGCTTAAGCTGTTCTCAGGGCTCTCTCTCTTTGCTCTATTCATGTGAGCTCTGAGCCCCAGCATGCTGGACCCCTAATAAACCCTTTGCTGTTGCATGAGACAGTCTCTTGGTGGTCTCTTCCTCCGACGCTCGCCCAACCTTTACAGTTCTATCTAGGTCTGATTTGGGGAATAAAAAGTATTAGTACATAGTTAGTAATAGCTGCATATTTATTTTTAAATTAGATATGTGTAGAACTGTATTTGTTGTGAACATTATAAAGCCAGTACAATGGAAATTTTACATGAAAATGATAAAAAAATATCATGGTGGTGACATGCCATTTCACAAGCTTTTGGTCTGACACTCAGTAAACCCACAAGAGTCAACAAGAGTCACAGTCTTGGCCCTTGCCACGTTGTTTGGTAGTGCTGTGTCACTGTCATTTGGTGAGGCAAATCTCCAATTATTATTAATGAGCTGAAGTCACTTGGCTCCATGAATATAAACATGCATTTTCTTAGTTTTATTTGGTTTCATCATTAAAAATCTACATACTGGGAAGTGTAAGATGGCAGGTCCTCTGTCCCGAAAAGATCACCCTCACCTCAGACTTAAGTCAAGAATTTCTTCCATAGGAGAGAACTTTCCAGTTCATAATATTACTTGGAATATAAATACCCTTGTGAGAGACAGCAGCAACTAACTCACACTGCAATATAAAAACACTTTTAGAATACCTTTTCCTTGAAAGGTTATATTATGGGGAATATGAAAGCCAAGGTATTCTGCTTTGGGAACATTCAGGATGTCATGGGAGACTGAGCAAGTTTTCCTCTGTACTCTTCACATTATTCCATTAGAAACTTCCATTTTCCCCTGTCCTAGTGGCATATAGTGGGGATATATATATATATATATATATATATATATATATATATATATATATATATATATGGTGGTGAGAAGGTTAGGAACTAAGTGTGCATAGAAAACAGTATTCTTTGAGCCAGATTGTAGGGAAGCAGACTTTCCACAGGATGCTCACTGCCATCTGTGAACAAACACTCTTCTGATTTTAGGGAAGGAATGGCTCACTCTGGAATTATTTCTAATAAATCATTTGTTCCCCATCTGTATGTAGTATGCTTGTCTATTATTGGTAGAAACAATTCAGTAGTGGAGCTTTCCAAATCATTATTTCTGCTCAGGTTGGCATTTGTCTGCTGCACTTAAGTATTAATTGATTGTTTTAAAACATTTGCCTAGGGTGAAAAAAATATGTCAGTTACTAGGATGTAATCTAGTTAGTCCTTGAGGGCTGGGATTTGAGCCAAATCATAATGTGACCAGCTGTGACTACCCAAACATTTTTTCATGGGGAAAGCATTCTGCTCAGCAGCTAGACAAGCACACACTCTTATCAGGTCCTAAGAAACTGCAGCAGAGCAAGCCCATAGCACATGCCTGTAATCACAGTGACTCAGGAGGCTGAGGCAGGAGGATTGAAAGTTCAAAGCCAGACTCAGCAATTTATTGAGACCCTGCCTCAAAATATTTTGAGATGCAGCTCAGTGGTTAAGCACCTCTGGGTTCAATCCCTGATACGAAAAAACAAAACAAGAAACTGCAGGAGAAGAAAAGTGAAACAATTACCAAACAATTGTCATTAGAGAGCAGAAGCTAGGATTTCCTGAATTTTGGATATGCTCCATCAGCATGAGGTTCTTTCTTCTTGCATTTTTTGTTAGTGTGTTGATAGCAAGTATTCAGTAGATGTTCTTCAAGACACCCAAGCTGAAATATTGTGGCAGGATCTCATTATCGCTCTTTCCCTTCTCTCTCTTCTCCTAGGACCCTGTGTCATCCTTGTGGAAGAAAGCCTGGTGCAGCATATGCTAATGACATTATTTCAGGTTAATCCATAAAGGTAGGTCTATAGCCATTTGGGCTGGATACAGAAGGGATGTTCTGATCAATTGACACAAGGCTGGTTTCTGGGAATCTCCCCTAGCCCATTTATGTATGTAGGAGGATGCAGGGTCCTTTGTGGTTTCTCTGATAAAAAAATTTGAGGCCACACAGCCACAGCTTCCAGAGTAGGATACTGGAAGCCCTTCCTTTTGCAAGTACCTGACAAATTATCCACATGTTCCAATTCAACCTAGTGAAAGATAATATTGTTCCCCAGATGTTATCAGGTCTGGGCATGAAAAATCACAAAGCAGCAGTTTTAAAAGACACAGGAAACAGTCATGGGTATCAGATCTTACTAAACTAGATATGCAGCAAGCATTGTGGTAAGATGCTTCCCTGAAGTAAGTCCTTTCATTTTTCACGAAAACCTCCACATTGTCTTAAAAAGTACATATATAACTTTTGCATTGAAATGGACACTATACTATAGCTGTATCAAAATAAAATACCTATAGAAAAGGAAACAAAGAGGGTGGGGAAATGCTGAGGCAGATAGAGGATAATCAGTGTAGAGATACTTTTTTTTTTGTCCTGAGCATTGAACCCAGGAGTGCTCTACTACTGAGCTACATCCTCATTCCTTTTAATTTTTTTTTTGAGGCAGGTTCTCACTAAGTTGCTGTGGCAGACCTTCAACTTGCTATCTTCCTACTTCAGCCTCCCAAGTAATAGGAATTACAGGCATGTTGACACCATGCCAAGAGAGTGGAGAATTTTTTATAACCACCAACTTAATTATGATGTAATAAAAACACCACTTTCCAACAGGACATTCTGTAATAATGGAAATGTTCTCAGTCTCAGATTCCAATATGGCAGCCATCAGCCTCATGAGGCCACTAGGGACTGGAATCTGGTTAGTGTGATTGAGGAATTAGAATTCAAACTTTAATGGATTTAAACTTAATTTTAAATAGCCACTATGGCTAGTGGTTACCATATTGAACAGGACATGTCTTAACAACATTACTGCTTTGCCATATCATCTTAGAAATAATTTGTTCTACTGAAATTTCCAGGAGAAACTGATTGCTGGCTGCAAAAAATATATTTACTAAAACATAGTTTATGGATCACTGTGGCCCCTGACCCAACCCATTTTCCAGCATACATAGAATCAGTGCTACTTTGTTCCTCAGAAGAAGACTTCTAGAATGAAGTGACTGACTTACCCTCACCCAGGGAAAGTTCCTCTCCCTCTCAATGGGAGAAGGAAATGGGCTGCAGGGCTCCATGTCAACCATGAGGTGTTTGTTCAGAGAATGGGAACTGTGATTTAGTAATGTTGACTCTGAAAACAGTCACAAGCCAGTGGTGTTGGTGTCCTTTGTGGTGCTGACCCCTCTCTCTCAGTGGCTACACAAGCTGAGAAGTGCCTCTAGATACACACAGTAGGTTAAGTGAGAAGTAAAGGTGATATAATACTCATGACCTAAAGCCCTTCCTGTTTGCAAGTTCCTGACAAATTATCCACATATTCCAATTCAACCTAGTGAAAGATAATATTGTTCCCCACATGTCATCAGGTCTGGGCATGAAAAATCACTAAGCAGCAGTTTTAAAATACACAGGAAACAGACATGGATATCAGCTATTACTAAACTAGATATGCAGAAAGGTTATTAAAGGTTGTGGCTCAGAGTAATAGGATAAGCATCAAAACTCCCTGCCAGACCTATGGCACCAATGTTCTATAGCTACAAGCTATCTTTCTGTTGCTGGATGTCCAGTGTCTAATATTCCTATTCACACCCTTCTCACCAACCAGCTATGAAATATAACTGTTTCTTCTTTGGGAAGGAATGTTCATATTAGCAGCTGTGGCAAGAGCAGATGGCAAGGAATCTATGCAAGTCTCTCATCAAAACCACTGACTGACAGCTGGGAAGCCTGGTTATATTGTGTTCTTCAGGAGACCAGTTGTCTACCCTGACAATATAAGAGATGGACACCTGCAGGTGGATAATTGCTATCTCATCCATCCCCTCCCCATATTTCCTGTCAAAACTAAAACCAAGTTATACTTTGAAGATAGGGTTAAATGCCTTCTTCCACCTTGAAGTCTTTCTAGACTGCTTCTCACAAGACATTAAATAAGCTGGTTTAAATAGGTTTTTTACTTCATTAAAAAGTTAATGTAAAACTTAAGAAAAATCCACAACTAGGTTAAAATAATGTCCTTTTGAACTTTTCTTTCTTACTTCTTGAAAACAGCTTATGTAGGGTAATTTGGGGATAGTATTAAAGACTTATGTTTTACTGTGTAAGAAAGCTGAATTCAATATAAAAATCCTTCCATCCTGCATAATAGTTAACTTTCCTCCAAGCCTCTTCCACCCCCAGCTAAATTATGACTTCTAAGTTCAGGGTTTGGCAGCAGAAGGATGGGCAGTCTGTTCTTTTTCTCTTTTCTTTCCTTCCCTATCCCTCTCAAGCTCCAAGATTGTGAACTTTGGTAACTACCTGGTTTGGGAATAAGACACCAGTCTCCCCATATACCAACTGTATCTCTGAGTCAATTCAGTGTAGTGAATTAACTAGTGACTTCAAAAGGGAAATAAAGACACTTAGGAACACTAATAAATTGTTTAAAATTGTTTATTTGTTGTAGAAGTCATAGAAGTTGTCTCTCTAACATCCATTTCAACCTCCTTGAGTGACTACCACAATGCTTGCAATGTATTGGTCTCATCTTCGGATCCAAAGGAGGGCCCTAATTACTCTAAACCACTTAGAACAATTCTATTTCCTTGTCACAGTGATGGTATGGATCTAAGCCAATCAGAGAATAACATTTCCCCAGCTACCGAAATTGAATTAAGGGTGTCCAATTAGAGTGAAGCTTGGGACTTTTGTATCATGGTTCTGAAAACTTCCCTTGGCCCTTGCTGGGTCCTTGCATATGAATGAGCCACCATGACTGTTGCTAGCAGTCATTTTCTGAGGCCGCCCCTAAGCCCCAATATGCAAATGCAGGCAAAAGTGAGACAATGTAGAAAAACAGTTGACCAAACCACAGCCACTTACTTTCACATATATGAGTACCCTGAATTCTTACAATATCCTTTGAGATTTCTATTAAAGCCTCCCTAACCTCCACCCCTATTTTACATTTGGGGAAACAGGTTCAGAAAAGAAGAG